AGTTCCTTAACAGCAACCCAGTAAGGGTTTGAGGCATAGTGATGCTGATGACCAGGGTTACGGATCCAAGGGATGAGGTGGCTTACAGGTAGAAGGTTGTCTGCCAAGAACTGGCATATGCGGCCCCCAGAGAAGGGAGAGCTTTCGAGGATTGATGGTGTCAGGTCATTCCAACGCAATATTGTATAATTGGATTGCCACTGGCTCTGATCAACCCTGCCTCGACAGACCCTAGATCGGGTTGGCTGTAATAACCACGCCTCATACGATGGCCGAAGACTGCAGGTCACAAGCTTCGTGCAGCCACCCCAGGCGGGCCTGGGTTTCGTGGAGAACAGCTTGGTGAAGTTGATGCATGAACAGTCAAGAATGAATCCTGTGTAATCCTCCTTGTTGCACGTACTAGAGGACCCACAAGATTTGCAAAGGCATCCCCATGTTCCAACACGTGCATGTCCATGCATACTTACATATATACATGCATGCATGCATGCATGCATGCATGCATGCATGCATTCCGGCGCAACTTAACATCTTTTCTCATACATGTTTCGAATTCGGGTAGACGTTGTCCCAACCCTTGGCCCCGCTGCGAGTTGTTATTTAGAGTTCTCATGTCTACGGGCTTGCTTCCTTGGCCTTATATATTACAGGAAAGTGATCATGGTGTGCTCAAGAGATCGAGGCTTCTGAGAAGAACACTAAAGGGCAGCCCCTGCTTAACGCCTCAATTCTGGTTGCCCGAAGTCTTACCCAGCAATGGATACAAAGCTGCTTGAGAAAATGCCACGGATTGTCACAGAAATGCAGGACGGCCGGTTTTGAGGGTTCCATACTGGACAGTTGCCTCAAGTAATCAATCATGCATGCCAAATGCGTTCCAGACATCGTTCCGACCTGCTGAAAGCTTGTGGAACCAGAAACCTGGGACAGACTTGACAAGTCTTGTTGCATCCGACTCACTTTCACCAAGAGACTTCTTCGCCAAGGATGTCTCGAGGCGAGGTCTCGCACTGCCTGTGTTCACCGCCTTGGCCACGGCGATGACCGGCAGCCCTTTGCTTGGACCGTGAATTCGCGCATTTTCTTTTTGAGTCACGTCGGGTTCCTGTATGTTTTTGTTGAAGTCTTCGCTCAACACGATTGTTGCCGCAAATGCTGCAACGTCCTGTGACCGGCTATCTTTTCTATTTATGGCAGAGTTGCAGCGTTGTCTCCAATGGTGCCTGCAGTAGCTGTGCTGTTGCTGATGCTGATGCTAAGGCTGCTACTGCTGCTGCTTCTCGTGCTCATACTACTACTACTACTACTACTACTACTACTAGAGTACTACCAGGCTTAACAGCTAATGCACATAGAGGTTGCGAGGACTGGGGCCACGCATGTTACTTGCACATTATTTCATTCTGGGATAGACATGATGGTCCCGGCCTGTGCGCAAGAATTCTGACTTGGCACTCGCAAGAGACAGTCAGCGGGGCAATGAAGATGCTGTCTGCAGCTACTGTTTTTTTTTAACTGATCGTCGTCAGCTGCAGGAATAGTTTAAGTTGTGGCAGCAGCATGGTCCTTTCCCATTATTTGGAAGGGCTTCGTAGGGTCCACATGTCCGAAACATTCAGAAACAACAGTATGTGCGTTTGTTGGACCGGTTTTGGATGAGAATGGGCCCAAACTCTGACGTTGTACTAGGAAAATGACGTAACCTTTGAGCGCTTCTCCGAATGCAGGACCTCCTCAACACCAAACGAGACTTTGCCTTTGGCAAACAGAGAGTCCTCCAAAGGAACCCGTTGGTATGGGAAGCCCTCATATCCAGACTCAAAACCTAAACCGCCTAAACCCTCTGTAGCTCCTGGAATTCTGAAGTTCGTCCTGCAGAATCCTCATGCAGCACAGCAGAGACCTATGTTTTCAGGAGCCCTCTCCTCCAAGGATATCCACATACACCTGACTCGAGCCCCTTAACCCTCATCCCTATCAAAATAGCCCTACGCATATTTAAGTTCATCCACAATTCATCAAACTCGGGCTTTGCCGAGGCGAGGCCGCCCAGGCGCAGGTGGCCTCCGTGCCTGGAAAGGCCGCTGCCACGCGGCTTCGGAACGGAGGGGAGGGTTTGGGATTTCAGGCGTGGGGCGGAGGATCTATGGCTTTGGGTTTCCTGTTTAGGGCTCAAGGTTTGGGTGCCAGGGGCTCCTCAGCGAGTGCTCTCTAGATGAGAAGGATCCTCCTTTTTTGGGGTGGCTGGGTTGGGTGAGCCTAGATGAGAGGCATGCGTATTGGCTACTTGTATAGCACGGGTCAGAGTCTCATCAGAATATTCGATCGCCTCAACATTGACCTGCTGTTCACAACTTCGAGAACCCTTCAAATTCCAAATGACCAGAAGCTACGGGATGGGCCCCTCATGGCCTCAACCATATTCAAACGATGCCGCTGAGGCACCGCAGACAATTTTAAAGACACAAACAATGCTGACACGAGCAAGTAAGCTTGACGCTACCCTTTGCCTCCTAAGCTATGCTGACAAACTTGACGCTTGCTTGCTGGTGATGATCTATGATGATGATGATGATGATGATGATGATAATGATGATGATGATGATGATGATGATGATTTGCTTGTATGGATTTTTGTGCTACTTAAATCGGACAACTTGGGCTGCAAGGCTTCCTGTGGCAGTCCCAGGCTTCATCCCAGTGGCAGTTCAGAGGATGTCACTGATTTTTTGTGGGGGCATGTGGAAAACTGGCTGTATAGCCCTCGAAGGGCGCAAGAACTGCAAGAATCGTAGCTCCGGGTGTTCAGAGATTGTTCCAAGGTCTGTAGCAACAAGGGGTGGGCAGGAGATCGGGGAAGGAAGGCTGCATGGGGCCCGTATTGCCCCAAACCGATCAACAAGCATTAAATTTCACGGAATGTGGACGATGCGGACTGATCCCTTACACCTCAGTTGGACTTTGCGACTTTTGGCGGTTCTGAGGTCGAGGTTCCCGACCGCATCAACTCGGATCCCTATGAGCCTCTTGTCCTACCAGAAGGTAACGCAAGTGGGCATCACAGCAACGGTGCTGAGTCTGTTGCACGTAGTCCAGGTTCTGAGAAATTTGAAAAGGCAGCAGGATTCAGGCATTTGCCCGCAGCCTTTGGATTCGGGTCTATGAGGCTCATTGGCATGGAGAATCCGGCTGACAAGAAGGAGGAGCATGGAGCTGATTCCTGGGGTTGAGCTTCCTGACTTGGGTACTTTAATTGTTATTGCTATTGTAAGCACTCTAGGCCTTTAGAACTTTTTGCCTTGGCTGAGAAGGAGCTTCAGGGTGAAGAGAGAGGGGTTGGTTCGAACCTAAAGTGGAGCCCAGAAGCTGGTGTAGTCTGTCCGCCCAGCATAGGGTTTGCCAGGTTTGGACAGAGCGAGAGATGTGATGGTAAGCATAACTTGTCGCCGATTATGCACAGCAGGAAATCGGCCGCAACACCAGAAAGAGCAGCGTCACCAAGCGACTAAGCCAATCCCGTGGAACTGAGTAGAAAATATTTGACGCAGGATATTCTGCACTGCACGGCGTGCAAAGGAGTTGACGGTTATGAAGTTTTACTCGGATGCTGCAGAAATCGCATGCAGATTGTTTGGGCTGGACCCGGCCTCTATCCCAACCAGGCTTTGTACAACAGGCTAGACCAGAGAAGAAATGGGGCACCCCAGTCCACTATCGGGACGCTTTTTCTCTGAGACATAAGCTGCACGAGTTGCGAGGACTACAAGACATTCTACATGAAGTCCAAGTACCGCCAGGATACCTACCAGGCTCTTTGCTGCGATTCTTGCTGCCTGCAGGAAATACATGACAGTTGTTGAAGCCAGAGGCAGTATTGCTTTCCCTCAGCATTCTCCGCCCGATTCAAGAACAATCCTTACACAACAACTTCCAACAGCTTCTGTGCTACTTTTGGAGACTGTTTGGCTTTGAAATTGTCTAGATTCTTAGTATGGTGGCGCCTTCAGCTAGATGTCATGGAGGTGATGAAGCACATGAAGATCTCCGCCTCCTTGGACAAGGGCACTCCAAACATGGCTGCTGGTCTTCAAGTGAGCTAGAGTCCAAACTCCTTAAAGGGGGTTATAGTTGGGATTGGTAGAGGGGACTACTATAGGGGTATTGAGGGGGATACTAGGGGTTTAGACTATGGTTCAAGTGTTTTGGCATGTTCCGCGCGGTTCGTGATCCCTGTATCCGGCCCTTTCGGCCCTTGCTGGTCTGCATTGCACTTGCCGGGGAGCATGAGGGGGAGCTAATGTTCAGGCCTTCACTGCTGCATCATGAAGGTTGCTCATAATATGACAAGAATGTGGTGCTGTAAGAACTTGCCACTTTCCTCTGAGGAGAAGTGGAACAGCCGAATCAAGAAGGAGATGAACGATTGGCTGGCGTTGTATCGCCGCCAGAACCTCTCTGTTGGAAGGCCACCCGTCTATCGGGCGGCGACTACGGGGTCATTTGAAGTCTCGTGACAGGAACGGACACAATTTCTAGGCTTGAAGCAAGGAAGCGTCTTTTCATTCCTGGTCTCTTTTATGATCAGCAACGTCATAATGTGTGGAGGGCATTTTTCAGAAAGGTTTGCGAGGGAGGTGTAGAGAGTCTGAGCAGCCAACTTTGGATTTATCGTCTGAATGCGAAGCTGGCTGCACAAGCTCAGGGTTGACAGCAACTTTTGTCACATACTCCAATCAAGTAGGCCTGTCCGCATATCTTTGCTGATGCTCCCGCGCGAGGCAGAGCTACTACTCCCTTTACTCTGCGATCAATACCCTAGCCAGTCACTTCACTTCCTACGGCTGCTTAGCTGCATGAAGCGCTGGTGGCTCTGGTACATCCCTAACACAAGTCACAGGAATTCAATGGTACAGGCAATACCACCCTGAAGCCCCAAAGCCTGGCAACGCAGCAAAGCTTGCAAAACCCCAAAGCAAATATTCTGGCCGCTGCTGTGGGCATTTGCCCGAGCGTTATGGGAGTCTACCTGAACAGCTCTCAGAAGCTTTCTTTCTAATGAGATAACCAGCTTCTTTGCCAATACCAGGTTGACAACAGTACTCGTTGTAACAGAAAGCAGGTGTAATTGCAAGGTACTTTGACCCATAGCTTCTTGGGAAGCATGAGGACAAGGCCCTAAGCCCTAAACCGCTCTGCTGTCATTGCCGTGCCCGCGCTTGTGCGATGCGCGTGCCTAAACCCTAAACCTCATTGAGTTCCTTCCCAGCCGAGGACCGAAGTTCCCCTTCCCAAACAAGAGAAGGCCCCGCTTCTACGAGCTGTGCAACCAGGTGGTGACTTGACTTGGGGGGTTTAGGGTTTAAGGGTTTGGGGTTTACAACTTCCCAAAATTAGGGATACCCTTTTTTGAGGTCCCAATAATAAGGACTGCAGTATTTGGGAGTTTACATTGGGGTCCCCCGATTTAGGGAAACTGCCACGTAAGGTGAGGCGGAGATATTTCTCAAATCTCTGGGATCCATAGGGGGTAGCAGGGTGTCGAAAATGTTTTGGGCTTGGACACGGGTGTGCGTGACCATGGTAAGTTATTGACTACATCTATTGGAACCTCCTTGTGACTGACTTCGCAATCCCCTTCAAAAACTAGTGGCCTCTAAAAGCGTGACAGAACACTGAGGGCCGTGGGGAACCTGCCGCGGATGGTCAGGGTCCCTCTGAGTCTTGCATCACGCTCCTATACCTTTGCTAGTACGAAGTGTTTGTCAACTTCTTGATGGTTGCATACCTTTGCGGCCGCTAAGCAGAGTTTACAACTTATACATGGTGGCCCGCTCGCCTACCACATATAAGGCTGCCTTGAAAGCATTGCTGTGCAAAGAGAGCGGCAGCCACAGGCTGCAACTTAAACTCTGAGCTGGAGAACCAACTTGAAAAAGAGAAACGTTGCATCTAATATTGACTGCAGAACGTACCCAACAAGTGACCGGATGCATGAAGGATGGACGAACTGCCCTATTGCTGTGTATGCTGTCGGCTGCTGATGTTTGCGGCTCACCCGTCTAAGGAGAAGTACCTCGAAAAGGGCAAGTGAGGCACTAGTGAGCGTTGGCAGGCATGAGTTGTATCAGCCGTAGCCTATTATGGAGTTTCTCGGTTCTGCTTTGAATAAATTCAAACAAGCATCTCCAGGCCTTCAGGCATACTAAATGGATTTAGCAGGGTTGCTTTGTGTCTAGCTTGTATCAACAGGGGGCCCGGCCCCTCGTGCGCAACATGCAGTTTGAATGGTCTTCGCTCATTCTATCAAAGCGAACTTGTGGATGAGTCAGATGCTCCCACGTCCATGGCCATTTGCCGCCGTTCCAAAGCTGGAAATCCTTCGCTCGTTCGCTTTGACACAACAAATTTTCTCTTTTTCCGGTAGGCATGCCGCCAGTCCAAGCAAGTTGAGATGGGGGCCAGACAGGAATCAAGACATGTTGCAGACCTGCAGACATTCAGCTGCGCAGAGGTGAGCACATCATGGGGCATGACTAGTGACTAGGTTCTACGCGCTTGTGACGGATGCCTTTCTGTAGCCTTTAGCCTTAGACGGGGATCGCCTCTGACACGACCGATGACCCCGATGACTAGATCGGGTGGCAAAGGGGGCATACATAATTCAACGCCGAAAGCAAGCCCTAACCGAACTGAAGATATTCTAGATGCGCCGCGGTGCTCTGTTGTTTTTGGTTTCTGATCCGTCTGAAAACCCTCGGACTTCAGCCACAGGTAGGCATGATATTGAGGCTGGCATGCCAACCGAATATCTTCAACCGTTTCGCGAATACCCTTCTTCGCTGCTCTGAGGGCAAAAAAAACAGGTTAGTAAACGTTTGCTTGAGGGGTCCTTGTGCAGACAAGTATTTGAAAACAAGCTTCCATGTATTTCGAAGGCCCTTCTGCATGCATCTGCGGAAGCCCTCCCTTCTACACCGTTTTACTGAAGCCTGTGAGGTGTAGCAGGGCTTTCATTCGGTTGCCTGCTCACTGTAAGGCATAACATCCCAAAGACATCATATAGCCATGTAGTTTTACGGGTCATCTGGTCTGCACCAAAATTGTGAACATCTGCAAGAGCTATGTGACATGGTGACGAGGTTACATGGAGTTCTTAGATATACTTAAAGCATTGCCAAAGTATGCACGGCATGAACTGTATTGGCAAACATAAAACATGGAAGTTCATACTGTTGGTCTATTGCCAATTTGAGTCAGCATCCTGCTTGCCACTTGCATCATAATGATTAGAGGGCAGATCTACGATTCACAATTTGGACAAGTCTTTCATCACAGTTGATGTGCTGAGTGGTGTTAAGTCTTTCAGGCCAACTACACACTGTATGAGGAATGAACCGGGCTTCAGTTACAGAGCTATTCCCACAAGCACCAAACGCAACAACTGAAAGTGTGCAGCGGGTCTAAGGGAACCTCTGCAGGGAATGAATCCCCAAGAAGCCCGCGCCTCCCATTTTCAGAAACTTCCATTTTGGCTGCCGACGCCAGGTAGCGGTGCATACTACTGTGCCTAGCCAGGACATACAAGCATGGGGACAACCTTCTGTCCAGAATGCACGTCTTCGCCTTCAATCTTTGAGCCCGAAGCTCCGCAGTGATTTCCCCTCAGGTGCTGCAGCTCTTTTGGCGCATCCGGGCAGTGGTCGACAAGATCGGCCTGTCTCTCTACAAGGAGGCTGGGCAGGGCATCCTCATGCGAGACTGACCTCTTTTGTTTATGTCGAGCCCAAGGCTCAAAATGACAGGTTTTGGGTTCTAAGACAGCTGCAGCGAGGTTAAGGTCCTGGCGTTTTGTGGGTTGGGTTGTTGTTATGGAGCCCTTCCCGGCATGATCAGTAATCGCATTAGGCTCCTTTTCCGAGAGCTTGGGGCTGAATCTGGGACACTGGGAAACTATGGTAACCAGAGGCTACCAAAAGGAGGGTGTGCCATAACCAGGCAGTTCAGACATTCATTTGCTGTGCTTTTGCCATATTCTTTGGCACTAGCCTAGCTGAGTGTATAGAGATTTTGCCAGCAAAGGGCTGCTGCATGTCAAATCTGGACTTGCGTTGCAAGGTGTCCAGGCAAAAGCCGCTAAAACATCGGGCTGGCCACCATCTAAGAATTACTGAGACTCCAGTCCAACAAGCTTCATGAACAAAGCTCTCCCAGAAAGCTTCTGCTGCGGCAGATGCTTCCCATTTCTGTGCTTCCTTTGAAAGCTAGTAAATTATATATGTGAAACAACCTGTTTTACCACGGCTCCATGTTGGTTCCCACCCCTGACACCCTGACATGGCCCGCTAAACCTTGCATGGATAGGCCTTAAGTCTCCTTGCTGACAGGGCCGAATAGATGGAATTGTCAGCAGCGAAGGCGCGCCTGTTTTGCACTGTTACTGCCTGCCCACAACAAGCTCTGAGATAGTGGGTACCCGACTTCATGACACAGGGCGGTTTTCGCATCCGCAGTCTTGCCAGTCAAGGCCAATTAAGCAATTAAGTGCCGTCTGCGCCAGGATTCGATCAGCGAGACGTCCTGCAGCAGCTCGGACACACCCTGGTTGTAAAGAATCCCATCTTAGCCGCTAGACAGCTGAAAAAACTGTTTCGCCGGGGCTTTGAGACGAGTTTGCCGAGAAGCTCAGACATGCTCGGTGAGTTGAGTGACAGTAATCGTCCGCCCTCCTCAGCATTTCATGCACTCAGAGGCTTTTTGACACACTCTCATTGTCGCTTCTGTCACGGTCCCATGATCTCTTCCTTGAGCCGGGACTGAGGTGGGACCACAACTGGATGCCGCTGGCCCGTTGCTCAGGGCCATGTACGTAGCAGTGTTGTGTCAGGCTGCCTCGGAAAATAATCATCGTAGAATGTTGGAGTTGAGGCTGTAGACTCCTGCGATGCCGCAAGGGAAGTTGCAAGATTTGCTAGCTCGGCAGGTTCTCGTGGACCGCGATGGCACGCTTCGAAACGCCGATAGTAAGGCGGCGCGGCGTGCTCGTTAAATTCGCACATCTAAGACGCCTCTAAGAGCCAGGCTGCAAACAGGTGCATCTTGTTGCTGCAGAGCAGGTGTATGTGCACGTATGACAGGATTTTCATGGTTCTTGTGTACGCACGTTCATTTCTCATTCGGTAGGGGGCCTGCAGTGTAAACGCGTTGGTTTGGCCTCCCTGACAATGTTGATTTGTAAGGTCCGCTTCATTGGCCTTGTTACCATAGTCATGGCCCTTTACGAAAATTGGTCTTCCCGGATTTTGGATTCTCCGGGAGTGGTTTTGCGAATGGTCGCACCGCATCGCCATCCTCCTGCCCCATTTCTTGCCAGTGTTTCGACCTAGAATCCGTCATGCGTCTCTAAACCTGCGCTGCAACCAAAAAACAGAAAGAAGAGACAAGGCAAAGCACAAAGAGCAAAAGGTAGAGATGCGTGATAGTTTTGCTACCACGGATCCCCGAAGGCCTCAGGAATGCAGGATCTCGATCCTCGATTCGCTACTTGACCCCCATGCAGGCCCCATCAGGCCCCATCTTCAAGAGCGTTTACAGTTGTTGGGGTATAGTATATCAATTATAGAGATTATAAAAGGATAATGGAAAATAGAAACTACTATATTATGTAACAGGGTATCTAATAGAAGTTCTGCGTGATTCTAAGTGGCCGTTAAAAGTGTTCATCCATGCATCATGTTGCACGGTTTTGTAAACCTCATGCCCAATGAAAGCTCCATTTTGGATTCTTG